TCAGGGACCTTCACTTGCATGAACATTTCTTCAACATCCGCCGAGATTGCGACTGCTTCTTTGCGAAAACTCAATAATATACACACTAACTCAGCAGTTGTGTCGGGTCCTTGATAAATCATATCATTTAGAGAAACGCCTGCAAACTTGGCGGCACAGTCAATAAACATCAGAAAACTCTACATCATAAAGTTTACGTATTTCGTTCTTCAAGGTCTGCATCTTACTGGTATGATTGATCACTCTTTTCCTATATTCCGGATACGACGCAGGTCCGAAGACCGTCCAACCCAGCAACGTCTTCACAGCGTACGGGCTTTTTCTTCCACCCAACCGCTGGTCTAACACCCAGTGTGCTTCTGGTACGTCGCAACCAATCAACAGCAGAACTTCTTCAGAGTTTAAATTATCTATCGGTACATCCCTTAAATGTGGCCACTTAACTAGGCTGTTCACTGCCGACTTTGTTCGCTTATGACCTGGTATACCTGCCACAATCAGAGCTCCTTTAATCGTAACATGTTCAGATCGATCTAAAGAATATATCTCAAAAGGCGCACTCGTGACCTTCATTGTTCTATTACCGCCCACAGTCTCAACTACCACTGACGCTCGGTCTTCCTTCAGCCCGAGACACCTCAAACAGCTCGATTTTATCAACGTTACATCAGACCTGTTATCCAACAAAGCATAACCTACCATTTCGGCATCTCCTAACATCAACCGTACAGGGATCATTCCTAGGCACACTTGGCTACTTAGGGATTTAGTAAATCCACAACAATTCGGGATATCAGATTTATCATTTTCGCTGTGCAGCAAGGAATGGTGTTTCTTCTCACAACCATTAACGTTACAACGTTTCGCCAGCTTACATTCATTAACTTTATGCCCTTGCCTAAGGCAGACAAAACAGATGCCATTAACTTTTGCTTGAGACCATCTCTCTTGAACGGTAAGCGTTAAAAATTTTGGACATTTATAAATAGCATGGTCCTGGGAACACACCCTGCATTTAGTTTTCACTCTCGAACTATTCCCTTGCTCTGATTGCACGTGACAGTTCGTCTTTACGTTATGTCCTTTTCTAGAACGGTTTGCTAACCGTCCAAATCTACTACAAGCCACTCTTGCACACGATGCGATAAACTGAGTGAGCTCGTCGAAGGTCGGTTCCCTGTTATCTTCAGTCAATTCGTCCACCCAGTCCGCCCACTGGGCTTGCATAGGTTGAGGCAAGAGTCTCACTATTCTTTCCAAGGTAACTAAGGAATTTAGATCAGAAGTATAATTCATCTGTTCCAAGACCATGGCACAGTTTTCCATTTTAATAGCCAAGTTTGATAGTTGGTCCCCGTCAATATACTCAAAATTCACAGCACTGAATAAGTCCTCTAGTGTTTCTCGAGCAATTACGTGAGGCTGTCCGAAAAAACGTTTTAAAATCTCCCTTGCTCTTTCATAGCCAGAGGATGCCTCCATCATGACGCAACCTTCAATAGCTGTTTTAGCCTTGCCCTTACAGTAGTGTATCAAATAGAGCAAGCGCTGGCTATCATCCGTGACTCTTGATGCTACATACGTCTCAAATTGCCTTATAAATTTCCAATAACCTCTTGGCTCTCCATCGAAATAACTCAGTTCAACCTTAGGTAGCTCTGGGCCAACAACATAGACTATAGGCGAAATGCTCTTTCCTAGTAATTCAGGCCTTTGCTCCTCCTTTAAACTAAGATTTTTTACATCATCTGACATCGAATTAAGGCTAGAATCACTGCCATGATAATTAAACCTATTTAAGTCTGAACCATGACCCTTAAGGACGTCAAAAGGCACTTGCTTGACAATAGGGGATTCTTCGTTAACATCGACGAACTTTGAGCCTGATCTCCTTCGACGATTAACTGGCATTATAAGCGACACGACCAATTATTTCCAGAAAATCCGTGAACGATTACCAAAGGATTTCGGCCAAGTAATTCTTGTTTAGAACTGTAGGATCCAAACTACGGTTTGGATGTTGAAGAATAGCCTACCGGGGACTTTAGACACGCCCCCTTTCCCGTCGAAATCAGAACAAGTAATTGGGTAACTAGCGGTTCTAAACAAATATTATCACCCGGCTATTCAACCAATGATTGTTCAATCAATTAAATCAATCACAACAAATGAACGTTATTCTATCCTGACTGGATAGATCACACACAATAGGAGGAACAAATCAATATGGCTACCGCCAAGAACAAGTGTCAAGTAAAACAACGCAGATGCAGTTCAGGAAGAAACACAAACTTAGTGAATGCGTAATAAAAACAAAAACTATAACAAAAATACAAATATTAACAATTCAAATGTAATCAAAATACAACAATGTACAACTAATGTGATCAATAGGAATAAAGTACAAGTATATACATGGAGTGATTTTCACCAACACATAAAACCTTCAAAATGGATCTTACATTAAGTCCTGGTGTAACAACGGTAAAGGTCTTGTAGTAGGCGACTTTAATGCACCACATATAAACTGGGTTAATTTAGAAGTAGAGTCATCCTTATCGTCGTTCGACTGCAAACTGTTAGAAACCTCGATTGGATTAGCATTATTCCAACACATTAGAAATCCCACAAGATACGACTTAAGAAACTCTTCCTCTCTTTTAGATTTAGTTTTCACACATGGTGATGACGTTGGTCAAATGGCTTTTCTCCCACCACTTGAAAGAAGTGACCATGCAGTCATCTTATTCAAATTCATGGCTGAGATTGCCTGTCAAACAGTTGCACCGGGCCGTCCCAACATATGGAAGGCAGATATGCAGGCACTTGACTTCGCAGCATCGGCTGAAAACTGGGAAATCGACTCAAAGGCATCAGTACAAGAGGCATGGACTCTATTCAGGCAGTTATACAATCGAGTAACTCAACCGTACATACCCTGGACTGTCCCAAAGAAAAAGAAGCACGGACATCCCTGGATAGGGCGGGATATTCGACGTTTACTGAGACAAAAGAAGAAATGCTGGGACGTTGCCATCCGCCTTGGCACAGCAGTTACGATGGAACGCTACAGATCGATAAGAAACGAGCGTATAACGAAAATTCGGGAAGCTCAAAGAAAATATGAGATGCAGCTGATACAATCTGCACTCAAGCAGCCCAAGAGAATATTCTCGTACATAAACTACAGAACAAGGATGCATCATTGGATTCCCAACCTAATTAAAATAGGAAGTGAATCTGAAATGATAGAGGAAGATCAGGAAAAAGCAGAGGTTATGGCTCACTATTTTGGGGCAGTTTTCACTCAGGAACCTCCTTTAGAGAAAGAACCAGACCCAAATACAGAGTCAACAAACCAGCTGCTCACCGTGGACTTCGACCAAAACGATGTGCTTAAGGCTCTTAGCGCCCTAAACATGGAGAAGTCAACAGGACCAGATGAACTACACCCTAAAATCTTGAGACATATTGCACAATATATCGCGGCCCCACTGACTGTGATATTCAAAATGTCACTTAACCAAGGTGTGTTACCTATGGACTGGAAGGACGCAATTGTCACTCCCATACATAAAACAGGTCCACGACAAGTTCCATCGAATTACAGACCCGTAAGCCTCACTAGTGTTGTAATTAAAATACTGGAAAGAATAATCAAACGGACCATAACGGCATTTATGCGAACCAATAACTTGCTGAACATGGCACAACATGGTATTAGAAAGGGTCTATCCTGTACAACGAACCTCCTTGTAGCTAGGGAGTTCTGGATAAACGCGCTAGACAACGGAAACTCAGTGGATGTTGTCTACATAGACTTCAGTAAGGCTTTTGACAAGGTGCCAAATAATAGACTGCTACTGAAGTTGAAAAACCTTGGTATTGCCGGACCTCTTTTAAAATGGATTAAGGATTTCCTAGTAGGTCGAAGGCAAAAAGTAAGAATAAATTCCAAGTGCTCCATCTGGAGGCCAGTACTTAGTGGAGTACCCCAAGGTTCCGTCCTAGGCCCTTTACTTTTTATAATGTACGTTATTGATCCTACAAGTATAGTACAGTCTCCAATGTCATTATACGCTGACGATGTAAAAATTTGGCGAGTAATAACTGGAGACACAGACGAATGTGCTCTTCAGTCAGACTTAAATAATATGATTAACTGGTCTAAAGAGTGGATGATGCCTATCAACGCGGAAAAGTGTGTCTACATGCACTTGGGGGATTCAAAGGTTAATAGGCACAGCATAAGAGAAGTTCCATTATCCGTGGTCCGGTCTCATAAGGATCTACGGGTGACAGTGAGTAGTGATCTTAAGACGACGGCCCATTGCCGTGAGGTCGTAGCGAAGGGGTTTCGAACCCTCTGGGCTTTAAAACGGACATTCACTAAGTTAGATACTACCATGTTCACCACAGTATACACATCCTTAGTGAGGACTAAGCTTGAGAACCGCGTTCAGGCTGCAAGCCCCTGTTTAAAAGGTGACTCGGATATCCTAGAAAAAGTACTGAGGACAGCTACCAGTGCAATTTCAGAACTCCGGGGTTTATCATATGAAGAGCGGCTTGAAAAGCTGGACCTTTTTACTCTGTCCTGTCGCAGATTAAGGGGAGATCTAATTTTGATGTACAGAATACTGAGAAATGATTTCGGACCTAACTTATTCTCACTCTTTCTTCCCACTAGATCGGACATCTCAGAGGACATAGCAGGCGAGTAGAAAAGCCAAGAACGAACAAAATACCCACGGCATACAGGTTTTCACACCGAGTCATCAATACTTGGAACCTGCTGCCTGAAGCAGTGGTATCCGCACCTTCAATTGACTCTTTCAAGAGAAGACTGGACACTTACAGAAGCATACTAGAAAATGAATAACATAGACCGTAGGCCTTCTGTCCTTACCACACAAACCTGAAATCTGAAATCAATGGACATTGTATCGCAATTCCCACTAAAATCGTATCGCCTCGCCACACTGCTTTTTAATGTAAGTTGTGCCTGTTCATTTCTTGAAACGTAAGCGATATGGGATGATAGCTTATGAATCGCGAACGACTGTTTTTGACTTACTGCATGCATGTTTCATCTAATGAATCCATTGTACTAAATTGAATCATGCCTTTATTCTTTGTGAAGGTTTTTTGTTGATCAGTAAATATATAATGTATTATATTTTTCACCTAGTGTTAACTCGATAAGTAGCCGTTTCGTAGCGCAAACGCGTGGGGTCGATTTAATGTGAACTTGTAAGTGGGTTTCATCAAAAAGTTAGCATGTATACAAGTATACTTTAACTGATGGTTTTAAAAGTTACAGAACTTCATGCGGATGTGAGACGAAGTCATTACAAGTGCACTAACTACAAATAAACGATATTGCTGCTTCACATGCATGATTAAAATGATAGTGATAAGTGTATCTAATAGATTCACAGGTTTCTTGAAAATGTTATATAATGCATTCATCACTAATTATCTGTATGACTACTAACGTCATTTATGGCGAAACTTAGTATTTTGTTTACATGTCAATTCTATGAAGAATACAATACATTCCATGTTTGTTCTGCTTAATGTGTGGACTCATAACAGTTTTCTGTATACAGCACTTCACATAGTTTGTTACTCGACATTTAAGTATTGTGAACACTTTAAACTTGTAGTTAGTTGGAGAAAACATTCTCAGTTCAAAGTGTATACTTACACTTTATTAGCTTTCTCAGTGAAATTCTGAAAAACGACATGCCACAAACAAAATAAAAGATAGAGGTTTTTGATGTGCCTAAGAGCTGACAGTTAAATGACATCCACCAGCAAAATGTAGTTATAAATCTTACATTTTGTGAATAATGCTGCAAATTCTGAGATTGCCTACAGTGGTTCGTTTACATTGATCTACTTTAAATTTTAATTTGTAACCTGGTGCATGAACCTAGATTTAGTTGTCACGTTTCGTCTGATCTGGTGATTTGTTACACTTGGATGTATACAAATATTTCGAGTACATCATCATTTGAAAGTGTACTAGACTACCTTCTATAATTGACCAGAGCACAGATAAAATTTCCAACTCTGCTAGTGTGGTATTAGAGAAGTATTCAAAAAATGGCAACCTATGAGCTAACTTTTTTTTCTCGAAACTTAAACAATACAGACTTTTGTTTTCCGAATCAAATTTAATACTTCCACGTTTCGGTGCGGTTTAATCAGAATGAACTCAGTGAGCTAAAATCTGAATACAGTGGTTTTGAGTGCTGTTAGAGGTATGAGGGCGCTTATCACTTCCCGGTTGCCCGCACCGTGGAAGGGTTCTTTTGAAGGTGCCTGAAAAGGAAATTGGGTTATAGGTGGCCTTAGTGACCAGAGAGCGTGACCGCAGTGCCCAAGAGACAACTGCTTGAGGTCGATCACATACGACCTTTTTATGGGTAATTTTTGTGCTAGCTCCGTAATTGTTGAGACCTTACCGCCGGAGAAGGATATCCGTGGAATAAGGCGAGGCGTGCATTTTTTTAGGGCCGACTTTTCTAACCCCACCCCTCCTTGTGGGAAGGTAGCTTCGCCATCATGCTGGTTGTCTTAAGGAAACACCTTACTGCTGTCACACCTCTGTACAGTCAGCAGTACGACTTCGCCCTCGGACCTTAGGTTTGTTGCTTTTAGTCTTACCGCTCTTCAACCGACCTGTCTGACATGGTAGGACCTTGAGGAACGGTTGTTCCAGCCAGTATAGCTCGGTTGCTTCATCACGATAGGCAAGCCCAACCACCACGTCAAGGTAGCAACAACGGTCGGGGAATCTAATGATTAGTTCATTTCATTATATTTCCCTCTCACAGTAACACAGTTTTCCTTGGTTTCGACTGACTTCATGTTGTGACAAAACTACTTTCATCATTATCAAAAGTTCATTTTCGACCAGGCAAATATTTAATTCGTATAATTTGTTGCTGATACTTGCGAGAATCCTCAATCTAAAACTTGTCTTATAACCCTCTGCGTCTTATTTATTTTGTTAATTCTTAAGAGTGAACTATACTGTATGTACTTTTTTAGTTTCTATATGTTTAGGGTCAACTATTCTAACAATGGAAACAAAGGATAATGTAAGCCTTGGCATTTTCGCTAACGTATTGCTGACAATTTTAGCCCTCAAAGCCTTTTGTGTTTCCAGTCATGAAAAAGACAATCGAAGACCTATTTACTAAGTCGAAAATTACGAAAGATGATATCGAAGCTTTCCAAGACAAATATTGGGAACAACTTGTTCCTAATTTCAGTCAAGCACTGAAGCTTCTGGATATACACGGAGTCCCTAGACATAATATTTTATGGGTATATAATCTTTATTGTTACTTATCTTTGTTCAGAGCATAAACGATCGCCTTATGGATGCTATTAAGGCTAGAGTTGACTCGAAGCCTGATGATTGTGACCAGAAAAAATGCCAAAAACTCTGGCAGAAGCTTATCAAGACGGGAATAGTGTATATTCATCATCCATATATGCGTTCATTAATTATGCAGGTATGCATTATTTTTTATCCGTCTTTGGAGACTTTTATAATATGCTTTTATGTAGCCAGTAAATAGCTCTGAGCATAAGTCTTGTGTTCATCGGGATTTACTAGTTAATGTGTCGTCCAAATATATCAAGAGGTATAGTTATATGAATTTCTTCAAGGATGCAAACAGTTTTCTTTGAGTCTAGAAAAACACTAGTCTTAACTCCAGGTATAAGTCACAACCTCACTTGATTAAGGTCATTCATTATATCAAACCAAGTAAATTACGTGATGGGATTTGACGAAATCACTTTGGAGACAGTGAGACAGCTTCAACATTTAAGTAATTATTATTTTAATCACCCGATATATACCATTGTTAGATACATGGTTATGTAAATTGGTACTCATCCTTGATATTTCCGTCTGTAATCACTATTCATTGTAACTGCTGCCTTTAGGGATTTGTCGTTAGTGCAGACCTTTTTTTGTATCAAAAATAGCAGTACAAACAAATTATGAGGTTCAGGTCGTCTATTTTATTGCTGTTATTGAATATTTTCAACTCACTTCAGGTTATTAAACTGGTGCGGGTAAATAGTGTAATTGTGTCACTTATACATACAATCTAAATGACCATTGAACTAAAAGATCCAGGTAAAATCGATTGCTAAATGTGTGTAATCCACCTACAAGGGATGTGGATAATAGAATAGTGAAATACTATTTTATAATCTTTCTCGTGTTCGTAGTATCATTGTCAGTCAAGTTTCTGAGCACCGAACTTACTGATACTGCCTTATTATTAATGTTCCTTGAGTTATATATACGGATATATCGTATTTATTATTTATTATTATTATTATTAGAAGCTTTATTCAACATTATATTTTTGGTACAACATAGAATTCTCAGCATAAAGTATTTCAACAAGTTTCCTTTTCTTATACCTTGATCTATTGTGACGATAAATTTTGAATGATGACCGGTTAGATGTTAGGAGTTCGGTAATCCACATTTGATCAATGTTCATTCGTTTCAATGCATATTGCCAGCCACCATGATGTCGCTGATTGTACCTTTTTGTATCACGTATATCGAAAGGTTGTAAACTTTTCATAAACGCTCCTGAATAAATTGTGCGCACAATAGACATAATGATGTGCTAAAACAAACAACAAAACAAATAACTTGATGAAATATCTAGATCGGAGGAACAGGTAGCCCAGATATTCAAGCAGGCCGCCAGCTTGTATCGATCGACGCTTCTGTTATAATTGGTACTAATAGTTTTTTGTTAAGATAGTCGTGTTTTATGTGATCACTGCTTATCTTCCTTTTGATTTAAAGGTTCTTGGTAAAATGAATTCGATTAAAGAAAGGCATGTCAACCTAATTGTTGACAACAAATATTTATATGATGATGCTCCTTTACCGGTCTTACGTCATATTTGGGTTGCTCATCCCCACAAGTATGTGGTAAATTTTTATTGTTATAAACATACAAGCTATCTGGTAATCAATTAATACACAATCTGATTCTTCATGAGGACAGTTATAGGCTAGGTTGTTAGATGAAATCGTCGACTGGAATGATAAAAATGAAGGCTTATAATTCTCTTCACTTTTACAGACACTTCATGCTAATAAGTAACACCATACATAAAACGCCTTACAGTAGGGCCTGTTCCCAGATAACATCATATATCTGGTCATGGATACTGTTGTGCACGATTTGACTTAATCTAAGCCATTCGCCTGTCTCAGATTTATGTACTCAGCTTTAATCCGGACTGTTCATATGCGAAATCGTATGCACTATATGATCGTCCGAACTGAGGTAGGTAGAGCGGATTTAGAGTTTATGATTTATGGGATGAATGCTGAGTGTTTTAAACACTTATTCACTGCCTAGTAGTGACTAATATAATTCATTTGAGAGTAAAGACCACGCAGTATTATCTTGTTATTCACAGTAGACACTGTGACTAGTAGCAGAATCCAGGACATGTGTATCGTTCTATTTAAAACTCGTTATCTAGATATATCTGCATTCCAGTGTTGATTTTCAGTCTTGTGCCTCTTGTATCAAATATCAGTATGTTATTCATAGACCTACTGAGTCAAAATAGCCACCAACTTAACAACTATGTTGTTTGCATTACTATTAATATGCGTTTGAATTATCCCTTTGTTGATATTCAGGAATAAATTTTAATCGGTATTTGTTAGCGTTTCATCTTACGTCCATTATCTCGATATAACCATTTTTCCGTAAGTTACTTAGAATAGATGAATGAATCTCTTCGACAGGAAAATTCGAACGTTTGATCGTAATGATATAAGTATTACCCTGGCTCATATTTAACAACCAATAAGTATATGTAAATTATGCCTACAGTTTCTTACTAGTAAATAACGTTTTGTCACCAAATCATTTACTATAAATTGGTTTATTAACTATTAAACTAACCTATCTTGTGATGAAAAACAACAGTAAATTACTATCTTATGGTTTTAATCTTTTGATAACATTGCATATTCTGGTTTTTATTTACTACCGTTCGGAGTGCTTGATTATACAATGTTGCATGATGTGGTATCGCAGTTATTAGTATTCACAGAAATGTCATCATTACATATTCCATTATTGACTACAGTTGACATGATGATGTAAACCTTTACAGTTCACCAACCCATGGGATTTAATAGTTTTGGTGGACCAATGTGATATTATTTCAATATTTCTATCTCGGCCCTGGCACGGCCAAGAATGGGGAGTTCGCTCTCCCTCTCTATATGCTCTCACATGGCCACGCGTATATAGCCTCTGCCAGGGAAGTTCCACTCATTGCCTTCTCGTGGTGGGGGTGTTGTTTACGAAATTGAGAGGACGAAAAGCGAATGTCTGGCGCTTTAACCGAGTTGGTGGACATACAGAGTCTACCTAGGGGAGTTGGGAAATTCTGATTCCAAACCAATGGTGTACATGGGCTCCAGTATCCTGAGGGAACAAATGGCATATGAACCAATCGTTTGTCGCTGGCTACCATGAAACTGCATCTCCTTACGATGCTCCACTGCCTTGTGGATCAGACCTTTAGGTCAAAGGCTCGAGGTGTAGCCCTCTAAGAAAACCACCTGCTTCGGTCTGGGCACCCGGTCAATATCACAGCCCTCACACAAGTCGAATGATTTATGTGGCTCATATCTATTTGGTGCCTCCTTGTACCAATATATATGTGTTAAAATAAATAAAAATAAATAAAAAAATAATTTCAATGTTTCTATCAGTCAGTGATAGTTTAAATTAGCTGAATGACTTTATGCATGTTGCAAAACTGATTCTAATCTAACAAATAGTATGAGTTTCGTTTTACGACTGATTTGGTCACAGAAAAATGGATAATTTAACGTTCCAGCTCATTATTTGTCTCAAATATAGTCTCTAAAAACTGACGATTATCGCTACATAACCTTGTGCTCTTGTGAAAAACAGGGGTACTTCCTCCATCGATCCCAAGTTACATAAATTTTATTCGTTGAGATTTTTTGATCTTTACTGGCTCGAGTCGCAAATGTCACATTTTATAAGGTGGACTCACTTCTCATGGATGGGGAATAATTTTTCCTAAGTATGTCAGTCTGCCTTTCCAATCAATGTCACTCTAAACAAAACTTTAATTTTATAAATTCATACAAATCGACTCCATCTATGGTAATCTGGAATTTATTTCTATGAATGCTTATATAGTAAATTTTATAAAAGCCAATCTATATATCGGTTGGAACGTTATGATGTACCATTGTTTTCAATGATGACCAATTGAAGTGTGTTTTATCAAACATAGATGAGATTTCCTTATTATCTTTCTCAGTTTACATCGTAGGTTAGTACTCGGTTTCCTGAAACAAATGCTGTGAAGCCTTGGAAGAAACGAAAACAAAATAATTTAAATTCATATTATTTCACTAGGTTAATATATAGCTGTTTACATTACATAATATTTCAACATTAAAATTACAGTGTGTCGAAAATATTTAGGTGAATTTGTTTGAGAGTTGTTACAATCAAACATCAGCATAGTGTAGCAAAGGTATCTATAAATTTAAAGAGACTAAATAAAACTACAAATATGTCGCAACAACATTATTATTAATAAAAATAAAAACTGTGATGCTAGAATTAAGCGGTTACGTAATGAGCAAACGCTAATGATAAGTAAGAATAAAATGGATGGAGCTCAGTTAATTAAACAATTTTAAAATTTTGTTTCTGTAGGTATTTTCAACTCACTTTTTGACTTTAATATTTAAATATTACAGGATTTAAGCAGTTGACAAGATCCCAATAAAATATAATAAATTTATTCATTTACAGACCTAAACGTCAGTTGGAAGATTCAAACAACCAATACAAAAATGAATTAAACTTCATCCCATTGCACAATCTAGTGGCTATCTGAACTCAGTAGCTAAGTGGATAACGCGATAGTGTTTAGAGCGAATGGTACTGGATCCGAGTTCCTGAGTGAACATCAACTTTGGGATATAGGTACATCCAGCTGAAAAGTCCCAAATAGGACGAAACACATGTCCTGGATTCCACTGTCAGCCATCATCCATCTCTTAAAATGAATTTATGTTGTTCTGTTCAAATCTTTGTTACTGCAAACCCTGTTCTCTTCCTGAAATGTCTGAAAATAAAATAAATTATCAGTTTTACGGTTTCGTAAAATTGTAGATGCGTTTGCTTCAAACTAGAATCTTCGAATTGTGTGATCTTGGCGAGGTTTTTTATGTACACGTATTTCAAAAATGAAAATAGGAAGTCTCATGATAAAGCAGGTTGTTCTGAGTTCTAGTATAGTTGAAAATATTACTTCCTGTGATATTTGTGATACCTCTAAGTGAACTAACGTATGCGTTAAATTTTTAGTTAAATATACTAAATAGTGTTTGTTTACGCAAATTATATTTTCTTGTTTGTCAAAAAAAATCAGATTTCAAGAGGAATTAGATAAAGTTATAGCAACATTTCAATCTACATGGTCTTCCGCTATTTTGGATGCCCTTTCAATGTCTATCACGTCTACTGCATCGACAACAGCTGATCTCGTCCCAATTCTTTATTGGCCACCTCGTCGTCGTAGACGTGATCCTTCAATTGTACGGATTGTTGAAATGATTGGAGAAGGACAAGTCTTGTATGATAAAGTAACTGAATATCCTATCTGGTGTTCTAGTATTCTTAAATGAACCTAATATAAATTAATATTAATAATACTACCAATTATAGTGACAATTATATCGTAAGACGTATATACTAAAATACTTCGTTACCTCTTGTGAAGATGATATACACTGTTGTTTCAGTTAGCGTCTTTCTCTTAAATTTCTAGATTAAACCGATCAATCGATACTTTGATTAAGGTTTTTTTTACTTAATGAACGAAGATTTAAGTATTGTTAAATTGATCGTTGGATTACTGATCGATTGTAATATGCAATGATATGAAGGGGTCAATTGATCGAGTTGCTCGCGAGACGAGACAGTTTTCCGGTAAAATAGGCTTTTCCAACAAAATAACATATCTACGCACAAAACACAACGAATAAACGATCAGAGGATATGTCTGCTATGGGTCATTCACTCTTCAGTGAAGTGAATAATCAGTCGTTAGACTTAGTTCTTGCCTCATCATTATCGATCAATTGTACTGAAACATTTTCTCTTAGTTCATGAATATGATAAAAATTAGTCTATTAAATAATATATTTTCCTACATTTGCAGTATGAATATTCGCTTAAATTCTTCTAAGAATATATAAATTCCTACACTACCGTTTTTTTGGATCTAGCTACCAGTTTTCTGATCGGTATAAAATATACAATGCAATACTATTTACACAGTGACGATTTATTATTCATCAAATGACTGTTTTGTTGTTTCGTTTATAATATCGGAACTTTTCATCCAGGTTTAACTTTCTTACATACTTGTTAGTAAAATTATCAGTGAGAATATAATTAGTTTTCGAATAATTGTATTCAAACAAATCGACCAGTAAATTCAAAATATGTTTCTAACTTTAGAATTATATTTAAATAAAGAATTTTACTAACATTGGTTCAGTAGCTAATATGTTCAACGTTTAGCCATTAAGTTGTAGGTTTAAACCAGGCTTCCCCGATTTTGATTTGAACAATGGGATTGTGTTATTGCTCCTCAAGGTCAAATGTATGAATCTTTACCTGGTAATAAGAAATTTCTTTTCTATTACCATTACTATTGCTATTACATTGATTATTCTGCAATTTACCTTGATAGATTTATCTCAATATGCAAATAATGGGCTGTGGCAAATTGAACCGATGTACGCGTGTACATGGTTCTGTGTTGTGTTTGACTGACTTACTGACTGAGTTAATAATAATAATAATAATAATAATAATAATAATAATAATAATAATAATAATAATAATATACTAACAGTGTATTGTTTCATCAGTGTTATGTTTAGTTATTTTTAGTATTGTGGTGGTAGTGTTGTGAAGGAAGACTTGGTAAGGATATCCGATTTGTTGTTTAGTACAAGTTACAAAATGTCCTCATAACATATGAAAACCATATATTAAATACTTCATTTGCACATCTATCTATTGTCTCTTACAAAATTCATCATTTCTTCGTTCCTGTTGTTATTACAATTACTCTCTGTTTACATTTCTGTTCTCTTCAATTCGATCTTCTCAACCCTTTGCTGCCAGACATTCCACTTCTGATTGTTGTCACATGCTACTCATGCCCGTCGACATAAATAGTATATACCACAATAGTAGTGATGACGTTTATTGTTTATTTATTAATTCTTCACTATAGACTATAAGCATACTTCGTGATCAATGTATAAAATGTGAAAAAGCGGCTTATTCACTTATGGAACAGCAAATCAAATCGACAATTGGAAATAATAATTCATCTGAGGAAATAGATGAACAGCCACCACCAGCTAAACGAAGTAGACAACGCTTATCAAGTAAAGAAAAATCTTCCGATATAACACAACGTTTAGCTAATCAACCTATTCCATATATCCCATTAGCTTTTATGCCTAATCAACCTTCAGTTGCTTCAGCCACTTTATGCACACTACGTTTTGATTTATTGATGAGTTTAAACGAAGCGAAAATTGATCGACTGTGTGTTCCTGATAGAATTCATCGTTTTGTCTGGTGCTTAGATGCATGTGTTCGCAATCGTCGAATCGATCAAAGGCATGCTAGTGAATTAGCCTATCATTTACAGTTACAACGTCGTCGTTGGGCTAAAGAAACAGCTGATGAATGTCATGAATTATATGGAGAATCTAATGAGAATATCAGTGGAGAAATGTCTAAACGTGGACATTCTAGTTCTTCTCGCGGTAAAAATTCTAAAAGTGGTAAAACCAATCAAAAACAATCTCCTTCAAGTACAGAAAAACAGTGCGATTTAGAGGATGTAGAAAAGACAGCTGATGTAAACTTTTTAGAAAAGTAGGTGGAATTTAATTTAAAGAGATGTTAACGGTTTTTGATAAAATTGTTTTTTTCCAAGCTGAATTCTATGACTAATTTTTTAATAGTCATCAGTAATCGAATGACATTTGTGAAGAAGCTACTGCCAGCAAAGCTATTGGAAAAAACCAGTGACATCGTCAATGAACAAAAAAAGAAATTATATGAAGAAATCCCATCAGCTCTGCTTTTACAATCCCTACGTATACGTTTTGGTTTATATCAGTCAGTCAGTCACAACGTAGAACTTCGTACGTACGTACATCAGTTCGAGTTGCCACACCACATTAGCACAGAGATGCAGTTGTCAATTCAAATCCAGTAGTGGTAGAGATGGTAAGAGTATAAGCAGTAATCGGGAAGATTAGGGTTTGAAGATGTTATTTAAAGAGTATAATCCAGTGAAATAAATTTGGAAAGAGAAAAAATAAGGGACATGAAGAATTCAGAAGATTAGAATTTGGGAGAGCGCAAAGAGTGAATGCACCTGCGCCATTGCAAACGATTTTGAGCCATGTCATTCAAGGTCTCTAACCACCGGTTGCTATCATCTCGCGGTCCCCAACCAGGTAGTCTACACCTACCAACATGGCTCAGTTCACTTGTCAGTGACTTCATGAACTTGTGCCATGTTTTGGTCTGGCCACCCCTAGCCTTCTTTCAACCTACTCACATACCATTGAACATCGCACGTCGAGGCAGTCGGTGGTTGAGCATACGTAATCCGTGTCCCAGCCATCTCAACTGATGGAGTTTCGCCACTTCATCAATCGATTTGCTATCCTTACCTAGTACCCGTTTCCTAACAACTACGTTACTTACTCGATGGTCCCAGGATATACGAGCAATGTTTCGAAGACACCTATGACCAAATACTAATAACCTACGAATATCCTTTCCTCTTACCGGCCGTGTTTCACTGCCATAAAGTAGGACGGAACGAACTGCTGCGCAGTAAACTCGTCCTTTGGTTGATAGACGGATATCTCACCTACACCATAAATGACGCAAGTTGGCAAAAGCTAGTCGAGCCTTCTGTATCCGTGCTGAGATTTCGTCACACACCAGACCACAAGGGCTGATGAGACTTTCAAGATAAGTGAAGCGATCGACACACTCAACCACTTCACTCCCTATCACTAGTTCGGGTGTCGATGTAACCCAATCCTGAAGCAACATTTTGCATTTCGAGGGAGAGAATCGCATCCCGAACATGCTTGCATTGTTGCTTAGAGTGGTCAGAAGACTCTGCATTTTGTCATCGTCTTCACCAAATAAAACTATGTCACCCGCATATTCTAAGTCAACAAGTGGATCTCCTGGTAGAAGTTCAACCCTTGGAAATCTAGACGAGGAAAGTGTTATCTCTAAAAGTACGTTGACGACAAAGTTGAACAAGAATGGAGAGAGTGGACAGCCCTGACGAACACCACTTGAGGTAATCAATTATGATGACAGTTCACCATAAGCCCTCACTCTACCAGTTGTGTTCGAGTAGAGAGCCTTTATAAGGTTAATGTACTTCTTTGGTACTCCTTTCATTGGCAAACACTGCCATAGAACCTCACGATCAACAGAGTCGAATGCCGCCTTAAGGTCGAGAAATACTACCATTGTGGGGCGTCTGAACGTGTGTCTGTGTTCTAGAACCTGACGTTGTGTGAATATCTGATCTATACAACCACGTCCAGGTCGAAAACCAGCCTGATTTTCTCTAGTCTGTTCTTCACGAGCTTTGTTTGGGCGTCGAAGTATTATTGAGGATAATATTTTAGACACTATATTAACCAAACTGATTCCTCTGTGATTGTCACAAGAGGACTTTTGTTTTTTCTTAAAAACTGGCACAATCAGTGATTGAGACCAGTCAGATGGGATTACGTCCAGTTCCCAAATTCTACCTAAGACCTCAGTTAATCTCACTGCTAATACTAAACCATCATCCTTAAAAATCTCAGGAGTAAACCTGTCAGGGCCTGCTGCTCTCCCTCGCTTCAGATTTCCTATAGCTTTTTCAACTTCGTAAAGAGACGGAGGGCCTACATTAACTTGCCATTCAGGTTGGCTGGAGATCGTGGGAAACCAAAGTGTGGCTGAAGGCTGAAGTACATCGAAATTTTTGTTTACTGCAATATTAACCGTTATGGCTAGTGGTCTGTTAATATATCGCGAGATAATATCGCCGATTAGAGTCACCGACTTATACGATCAGACCAGTGACACATAAACCTGTACGAGCAGCCTAGAGTTCTTATTGGTTCTTTTGAGGTAGTAGCTTCTCTCCTAACCCAACCGCTTCAGTCCAGAACGCAATTATCAGCCTCCGTTATATGAATCATATATTCCAGACATACTTTACATCAGCATAGTGTAATAAGAAATGAAATAGATAATAAACTAAAAAGGTTGAAATGTTAGTAATTTAGGTTTAATCATAATCTACAAAATATAGCGAATATAATTCGAAGGATGCTTAATATGATATCATGATGTGCAGTAGTGAAAGTGAAATATTTTGAAATAGTGGAGATTTGTAGCTCAGGTGAAGTTTGCACTGATGATGTTCAGAAGAACGATGAAAGCTCCACGACAAAACCATCCAGTTCAGAGAATTAAACTCTATCAAAAAGTGAAATATTTTAACACTTGAATTCATTAGTCGATCTAGGCTAGACCACCACTCGTGAATTCAACTATTAAAATTACTACAATCTCCACAAACCCTCATTTTGATAATAATCATCATGTGCTCACTAGTAACTGGCTTCAAGGTGGATTTCCCGGAACTCTAATGAGAAGCCGTGACCAATGGAGTCCAATCCATGTTGGATAGAGACAGGTATCTACCTCAGACAATTGGATAAATAGTTGCGCAAGATTATCGATCGATTGAAGTTAGACATTAACACTGTTGGATGTCGGCTCAGTGGTCTTGAGATTAGGCATTCACGTGCGAGACCGAAAGTCCTGGGTTCAAGTGTTGTATGTAGGGTCATGGGTGCGCACTGTTGATGAGTCCCATACTAGGTAGGAACGACCGTCCGATGCTTCCAGGTTTTCAGTGATGGTTTAGCTTAAATCGACTCATGAATGCAACTGTGGAAATATTATAATCTCCACAAATCCCCATACTGATAAACTGAAATATGGTTTGTCACTGAGCGTGCTCAAACATGCACTTAGCCTACAGTCTATTAAGTATGTGATTCCCTAGCCAATATTATTGTGATACATGAACCCTAGTGATGAAATTTTTCGTGGTGTAATTGACAAAATAAGTGATTGGTTAACTTGTTTCCGAGTGTATGTACTTATGTGTTAAGGAACAAACATTTTATTGTCTGTAATAATTTTTAAATCGGTTAGAAATTGTTCTTCTTTCTAATCTGATTAGTTAAAATCAAGGTAGCATACAGTGTTTTGATTGGATGTCAAAATTTGCATTTTTACATTCGAATGTCTTTTCACTTCCGAAAGAACGGCATCAGTTATTGTGTTTGGAAAGTATACGGTTTAGCTTATTTTCTAAGTAATGTCAATAGCGAATTGCTTGTAAGTATACAGCTAGACGAAATCATTATCTTAATTTTTCAATGTTTATTAGATGATATCGAGGTTTGATGAAACATAAAAAATATTACTATCATCACAGTATGATTGTTATTCTCAAATTATGTACATGTAGCATATTGACTACGGCTTGATGAGAATTGATTTGAGTGTTTATTGAAACAACATCTTCATGAATTAGCGTTTCATCCAAATCCACGTTCGTTCGATAGTCGGTATCACTTGTCTGTTGGATCTCTGGCATGACGGTACGGCAATCCGTTTTCCGTATAAAAGCTTCAGGAACAATTGACGCGATTTCCGTAGGATCCTGTAAATGCCTGTAGCGTCAACAGTCATGACCATGTCGACTGGTGTTATAACATATGTGAAAGGTGACGTTTCAATAACTGACATACAAAAAGTGTCAGTTTATCTTGAAGACGACGTATTTAGGGCTCCCGATCAATAATTGTCTTGTAACATCTTGATATGTATTTTTGTACTCATGCTTCCATCCAATATCCAGTCCTAAGCATCACACTGAAGGTGGATCTAAGCACGGGTGTTTTTCTTGTAAGTTTGTGGGACTTCAAAATTTTATGTCTTGCCTCAACGAAGTTAATATTATTTTGTTCAGGAAGTTTTACAGCCATTCGGAATGCATTAGACCATTTGTGTTTCTTAGACAACAACTGATGTCATATGTATCGACTAAAAGTCCCGGCTGATACGAAAACAAATTTTCGTTATTGGTTTTGTAGGTCCTGTCAAAACCAATAACATTAAGGAAACGACATGCCAAATTGATCTGATCGGCAGTTGAGAAGAAAAAAGCACTGTAGATTATTTTCAGTTGAGTATAATCACCTGTCATTCAAAATATTAATAGGCACATTTCTTACCTGGAAAATTGGCCCGCGAGAACACTTTATAACGTATGTTAAAAACATCTTGCGGATTCAGGTGCTTCATGTAGGATTGGTAAACAAACTGTACAATACTGAATTCTTTTCACTTACCGACTATTCTGTGTTGTGTTGGTAAATTCAGTTGGATTATATGAAATGTGATTTAAGGTCATAAATATTTGTTTCTCCATTATAACAAAAAGTATTGGATTTATTAAGATAGACTTATATTTAAATGAATTATTTGTTTAATTTTTCATGTTTGTATACAGAGATATGCATATGGCTTGTCGAGATCCGTGGGTTGTTTACACCATTTGTACGTCATTAATTCGTTACGTACTTAATGGACTTTATGAAGACAAATTACCTCGGGTAAGTTAGTTGGTTGATATATATATAGGCGTACATTTTTTCTTAAGGAATAGATAGGATGTGGTTATCGTTGAGCTCTCAGACACGTTTCCTTATATTCTGGACATGTCAGTAGCGTATCATTTTGACGTCAATTAGATACGACAATCATTTGTCTGATCTAATTGGAATCAGATATAGGGCTACTAAAGTGATGAACCCATCTTTAACATCATCGTCATATCTAATTGACGTCAAAATGACAGGCCATTAAACTATTACCCATTGCAGAATAAACAGACTTTTTTGAGTTTGCAAAGATGCTTTGTTGAGAGATTTATATATCGCTTAAACTTGGTTTATTTTGCAAACTGTTTTAAATGAGGAAGCAAATAAAAATCAAGAAGTGTTAGATATAATTTCTTTTCTTAATCCACATTGATTTCAATACGTGATTCTGTCTTTTCTATGAATAGATCTCTTCATCGTCGTCTCATTGCTTCTACATGTAAATAAAACATCTGCAAACTTACTTTAAATCTAAACCCTAAGTTTCTTAAGCCTGTAAATAGAAGGGTGACAAAGTATTGGATGATCATTGATGTCCGTTTGATTCAAAACCCTTAGTTTTAATTTCTAAATCAAACTCAAAAATTGAGTTCATCTTTTAATGTTTAGCCCTATCCTTTTTGCATTATCGCGGATGCCATTTGGTAGCAAAAGCTTTGTGGGGTGGTAACCTCTAACTCATAACAATGACTCGACTCTTAATATGTAAACTTAACCTTTTCCTTCTAATAAAAAGAATAATTCGACATATGGGTGTTGACTATTCAAATTATAGGTATTATTGCACTGTTATATTATTGCTTTTTACTGTTAGATGTTTTATAACCAGGTAGTGTTTTCCGATTGGCTGATAGGCCTCTCATCAGTATCTTATTTTGTACCAATAAATGGAGCATAAATTATTGGTTGCACAATAGGTTTTTAGCTCTGACAGACTGGAGCTCGCTGCTATAGGAGTACCTATGTTCTTACTCCAAATTGATCGAACTTTCAATGGTGCATTTAGACGAAATAAGGATTCTACTTACATCTCATATGTTCTGTCGGCAAATCCCCTTCATAACAACGCGGATAATAAAATGTCGAATACTAGAGTTTTGGATGTTTGTATTTCATACATTCAATTCGACAGACAGATGAAGCGAAAAAAGCAAATAAGGCAGATGTCCTTTCTCAATGTGATTAAAACATGAGTCAACATTTATAAGCATGACACAAACTAGCCAGCATATGGACACAGACATACTATCGTGCATACATGGCAAGATCCCATGTATAAATGACATAATAAGTGGAAAGATCAGTATAATGTATTTGTTTGAAGGTTAGGGTAAGTCGCGTAGGTGTATCATAAAATAGAGGCTGCTACAGGTTAAACGAGTTCTTGATAATCTAACGTCAATATCTTTTCTCTTATGTTACAAAAAATTGATAACGTCTTCAAACCAGTAACAGTAAATAATACGAAATACACAAATTGTTCCATCATGTATGAGATGTGTTTAAACGATTGAAGCCATTGTTCTAACTAAGGCAATTTTCTTAGTTGACTAACAGTTATCAATGTGATTGATTTGGCATAATTGAACTTCAAATTTGTTACACCTAATTTTACGAAACATTGAAGTCACTAGCTCGTATAGCTTAGATTTCATGAATATGCAGTATAGAACTAACACTAATGAAGCATTGTCTACTAGACCTTTACAATAAGATCGTCGTCACTGTGGTACCAGAAACAACTTTGATTAATCCCGATGAGTTTCACTACACAAAAACTGATCTCACCGTATCATTGCACCCCTTAGTACTCATCCAACTATACCCAAATTTTTCAACTATTTTCATCTATTCATGACTAAATAATGTCAAAAACAGACTGCTTTCAGTCTTTTAAAAGTACTTCGTGAATAAATAAATAATTCAATACACAGAAATGATAACAATATTGAAAGGAAACAGAGAGATAGCTCAGATTGTAGTTGGCAGTGTTACATAAAAGTTATAGGAATGCTTTGTTTCAAATATGCCTATTCAATTGATCTATAAAATTATGGATTATTGATTTTCACTCTGTAGTCGAATGTAGGATCCGTTGTAATAGGTAGTGATATCTACAAGACATTAAGTATTAGTGATTTAAGAAATTATATAATAGATCTTTAAAAGTTGAATATTTTCGTATTATATAGATTTATTTCATTCACTTATCTGTGAATGATTCATTTTATTTATACTTCTATAGATCTACTTCTGTAATGCTAAATGATGTAAAGAGGAAATTCTATGCATAAATTTCAAGTTTTTCCTGTTTATCTGATAAATCTAATTGAACACTAGATTCGGTTTTCTATGCTTTTCTAGTAACCCTTAGGCTAATCTCCACGACAACTTGAACACACAAAAAAGGCGCGAAATATGAAAAGAACACTTTACTCCTAGGTTCACTTATATAAAGAAAATTCGGGGTATTTATAACGTTTCTAATAACCTTGGGCTTCTGGAAGATTCTCTAACGCTACTAAAGATAGTAGCAATATAGGTAATTATCTAATCAGAAACATGACATATGACTTCGCTTTCTAGATGTTTCTGGTAAAGCCTTTGTTGAATACTGATTAGATAAGATGTTTCTCTGCGTTTTCAGAACCTCTTTTGGTTTTTTTTCGAGGAATTTTCTGGGTCTCCCCAACATATCAAACCTTGAATGTATTACAGTTATTCATATTTAAAGTAAAACCAGTTTTCCTTTCTATTTCATCGTATTTTTTATTTCAAAAAATCTACAGGATATACCTGAAGTACACTTACTTGTTCATTTATTAGTACTTGGCTTAGGCGACGATTTAATCCCGTATTCTTGTTTACAATTAAAAACTAAAGAAAGTTCTATAAGTAAACGTAACAGTACTACCGATATTGATGATCCTACATTGAATTGTCCATCGAAAGCACTAATTAGTTATATTTTACCAGCTGTTGCACAATTACAAGTATTAACATGGAGAGCACAAGTGGCTGAAGAGATTTTAACATTAAGCAATAATTTATGGCCTACTACTAGTTTGGAAAATACTACTGGCAGTAGTAATAGTAATAGTGGTGGCGGGTTAACGCCATCTAATAATAATAATACAAATCAACGACCAACATCTCATGAATCAAGAGAATCATCTAACCCATCATCGTCATCATCATCACCATCATCATTGCCAACAACATCACCACCATTGGTTTGGCAAAAACGTATTAAAGGTAAATAAAACTTATAAATTAGTTCATTATGTTTCTTTCTTTCATTATTTTTTACCTGAAATATTTTAGTATAACTGACTCACTATGCTTAAGATATTCAACATTCAATCACTAAATTACAGGTTGGAAGCAGGCATTCCATCTATTTTGGTTTATGCACTTGAATAGTTTCACTGTAGTGAACGAAGAAGTCAAGTGGGGAAGATCAGTTTATTGTATAATGAACAGTTACACAGTGGTTTAGTAAGACGTGAAAGTCATGCATCAAATACATTATTTGCACATCTTTGAATTGTCTCTTACAAGCTTCACTGTTCCTTCATTACTGCTGTTATCTTGATTGCTTTCAACTATCTTCTCTCTTCTCTTCAATTCTATCTTCTCAACCTTCTGCTCGCAGACATTCCGCTTCCGACTGATGTTAAATACTACTTGTGTCTGCAAGCATAAGTAGAATACACCACATCTCTAATTTTCATATTTAAATTGTGTTCGGAATCCAATTGTATACGAATCTTTATCCAGTATTTAATAAATATTATAGTATGAAGAACAATAATAAACCAATAATTTTTATGTGGAATTTCAACTTTTGCATGACGACAAGTTAAAAACTCCAGCTTGAATTCAGCATTATGAATTCACACGAAAGATATGACATAAAACAAAGTATATAAATGCACATACATACATATACTTGCTAAACAAGTTTTCCTCTATATATATTTCGAGTGCCAAGAATTAGGTGTTAAATAATATCATGTATAATTCTCATTGTCATTCATCAAGGAAGGATACGTGCCATATCACACTGAAATTATTTTTTGAAGTTGAGATGATAGCTAGCAGTGGAATCCAGGATGCGCTTTTCGTCTTATTTGGGACTCGTCAGCTTGACCTATCTGCGTCCCGGAGTTGATGTTCACTCCGCGACTCGGACCCAGTACCGTTCGCTTCTAACGCCATCACATTATCCACTTAGCTACTGAGTTCAGATAGCCACTAGCTTGTACAAACGCACGTCCTGGATTCCACTGCTAGCCACCATCATCTCAGCTTACAATACTTTTTCTGAAGGCAATATCGAGGCAATCCGCACAGGATGCACATATGCCAATAAGAGACTAGTCAATTGCAGTCCTAAACATCAATGGGATGATTCAACAACCAATACAAAAATGAATTATTTTTTGGTGTTAAATATCAGTCAGTGGTAATATGGATTAGTTTTTGGTGGAGTTTTGTTCTCTGAGCTGGATGGTTTGGTCGTGGAGCTTTCATCGTTCTTCTTAACGACATCATTAGCACAAACTTCAGATAGAAGTGAAGTGTTCGAATTTCTCCATATGTGTTTCACAGCTTGTTCTGTGCACCTCGACGTTGATTGGTTCTTATTGACCTTAACTTTGTCATTGTTTACTTCTTTGTTTTGGTTGTGTCTCCCATTGGTTTGATTTTTGTTCCTATATTTATGCATGATTTTCCTGATTGGTTGATAAATTGGATTGATTTCAATATGTTTGTTGATTGCTGATTGACCTGAGTGCCAAGCTTCTAAAAATTCTCTGGTGTTTTTGGAGTTTCCTCTGTCTAAGATTTCTACATTTTCCCAATCGAATGAATGTCCGTAGTTATCCACGTGTATTGATATAAGTGAAGAGATATCATGGCGTTTGACTGCTAATTGATGTTCATGTAGGCGTAGGTGGAGGGGGCGTCCGCTTTGTCCGATGTAGTGTTTGTCGCAGTTGGTACAATTTATTTTGTAGATGATGTTTGATTTGTTTTCCTTTGTTATTTCATCCTTTGGTTTGCATAGGATTGATTGTAGTGATTTTGTTGGTTTGTGTGCCACACCTATCCCGAAGGTTTTTCAGCAGTCTCGTTGCGGTTTCTGATATTCCCTGTATGTACGGTAGGGTGATCCTTTTGTTGATTTTTGTGCTTGACTTAGGTTCTGATGCTGTGTGCCGTTGATGCTTTTTGATGAATTTGATTGGGTAGCCGTTCTTTTGAAATATGTCCTTCAGGTATTTCTCTTCATTCTTTTGTGCTGCCAGTGTGCTGCAGTGTGTCATCGCCCTCTTGAACAATGTGTGTACGCAGTTGATTTTGTGAGCTCTTGGGTTGTTGCTGTTGTAGTTGAGAATTTGATCTGTATGGGTCGGTTTCCCATATACTTGAGTTTCCAGTTTCCCTGTATCAGTTCTAGTGATCAATATATCCAAGAATGCTAGTTGGTTGTTTGACTCCTGTTTCATTGTGAACTTGATGTCATTGAAAACGTTGTTGATCAGTTTGTATGTGTTTTCCAGTTCATTCTTTTTGACGATGACGAAGGTGTCGTCTACGTAGCGAATCCAAATTTTTTGCTTGATCACTGGTAATATCGTGGCTTCTAGTCTTTGCATCACTGCCTCTGCGATCAGTCCTGATATTGGTGATCCCATTGGTGTCCCTTTTGTTTGTTCGTATATTTTGTTGTTGAATTGAAAATATGTTGTTAGGCATAAATCGATGAGTTCCAGTAGACTTTGAATTTGAAGCTTCGTGTATTTGATGAGATTTGTGTCGTTGTTGAGTAGCAGGGATATAGTTTCTTTTGCTAACTGTGGTTTAATTGAGGTGAACAGTGCTGTTACGTCGAAGGATATCATCAGTTCGTCGTTGTTGATTTGAATATTCTTGATTTGGTCCAGGAATTGTGTTGGGGATTTGATGGAGTGTTTGGCTGAATCTACTAGATGTCTCAGTATTCGTGAAATTTCTTTTGACAAATTGTACGCTGGCGTACAATTCGTCAAACGAAAAACTGGTCTAAAACAAGACAAAATTCATTATTAGCTCAGAATAGTTGAACCCCCCATCATTTAAAGTGAACGCTCTTTTTCTAAACAAAAAAAGAAGATTCATCCCTCTTATGTTCGATGCGATTTTCATTTCTCATCCGGCTGACAATGAATTCGCTGAACTGTTCTTTTATTGGTCTTTAAATGATACGAAATGTTCTTTAGGTGTCAAACAATATGTGTGATGATTTTCCATTCGAGATTTGCGCGGTTGTTGTAACCAAAGTGATTAGAGATTTTGAGTGACAAGGATCAGAATCATTTACAATGGGACAAGTGCATTCATTCATTGTTTTACTTCAGAATCTAAGTTTCTTGAGTGTTTCACGATCCTTTTTATTTCAATGTTCTCTATTTCCTTTTCCATTCATATCTTTTATTCTTAATCTTTTCTACTACCACTAATACTGTTACTAATTACGGTACTCTGATATCTCTCCGGTCTAATGTATTGTATCAACATGAACCGATACACATACGTGCCAGGTTCTATGTTACTGACAAAAGCGATTTCGCATTTGTAATGATAAATATACGGTAATTAAGAAAGTAAAAGTTAATTCAAGTGATTTTTAATTCATTGATAGTTTTCTCATCTCGATCTCATTTTTGTTGTGTATACATGTACATTAATTTGCTCAGTGGTAATTTATCTGACATTTTAAACATTCTGATAGTCAGTAAATCTCAGTATGGAGTTGTAGAGATTGTTGATTTTCGTTGGAATCATGAGTCGAACTAAGTTAGATCATCATTGAAAACTAGGAAGCACTGAACGACTGTTTCGTCTCTAGTATCCCTCTGCAGTGCGCACCACGATGCCCCGCCACAGAGAATAGAACCCAGGGCCTTCGCTCTTCCGCGCGAGCACCTAACCTGTAGACCACTTAGATGGCATCCAGCGGTGTTAATCTCTAATTTCAGTCAATCCACTACATTACGCAACCGTGTTCTTTTTTCTTCGGTGGGTAACTACCTCACAGCCGACATGTTTGAACTCCATTAGTCACTGCTTTTTATCAGTACTCCGGAAATTTCCTCTTGAAGCTAGCTACTAGTGACGATTGTTGAATTTCATTAAAATCATAAACCGATCTAAGTTCGGCCACAATTGACGAGTTCCTTACCAGGACGAAAAGACTATTCAATGCTTTCCGGCTTTTAATGATAGTCTAACTTAGATCGGTTTGTGATTTAATTAAGTTAGTAAATCAATCATTAGGTAAAATATCATATGAGACAAGCCAAGATTTATATTGTATACAAGCAATTACATGATTCAATCAGGATGATTCCCATCATGAATTAATGTCAGCTAAAGTTGATGAGTGAAATTGAAAGATCACTGAACAATTGTTGTTTTTTTCCCATCAGAGGTGCATACCTACACCCACTTACTTGTTCAAACTTAGACCCTTCAGTAATCTAGGTAATCTTATTTTCTTATGCTAATCAGATTAAAATTATGGTTGTTCATTATACAACATCATTCACTGTATTGTATACTACCTAACGTTCTCATCCATTAAATGACTTTTACCATTTATTTCATTTCTTCAGTAGTTATCATCGTAAATATTTTTATAATTTACTATTTAATGAATCGTTAATTATTATTATTATTATTATTATTGCTTTCGATTTTTTTCATAGATGCTACTCAATGTGTCAATATAACTGTACCATCAGGTTATTTAGCACATCCAATTGGTTATTTAATTTTACAATATCATTGTTTATTTTGTTTAGAACGTAATGAATTAGCTACATTACGTGCTTTATTAAAATTAGCTGTAACACTTGCACAATCACGTGTAAATCGTTCTAACCATAATAAATCTACAACACAATCTCAACCAATTACACCAACAAAAGTGTTATGTTCTGATTCATTAAGTTATAATAATAAATTTGGCCTATCTGTTATTTTTCGTTGGCGCCCAGAAGTTTTACAAGTAAGTTTTAGAATAATCATAAAGACTCATAAAATTTGTATTACTTAACTACATATATATATATAATGCCTACATGTATGTATAAAATCTTAGCTTGGGAAACAATGTAATGTGTAACTGTAACCATTTGTCAATTCATATAGTTTGAATTTGAGACAGTTTTGTTTTAATGGGGGTGTGGTGTAGATCACTTATATCCACACAAGTAGTGTATAACGGTGGTCAGGCATAGAGTGTATTTCAGCAGAAGATCGATAAGGAAATAATCGGAACGGAACGCAATTGGTATGGAAATGCATAAACAATGAAATCTAAGAAGATTGACTGATATTTGCAAAACGAACAGCGAAGTTTGAGATGATGGATTGATATTTTGCAAATTAATTATTTACTATATGATTCTCAGATTTTATTGAAATCCTCTGTAATTTTGTGTCAAATACATTCGATTGTCCCCACTCGTGTTTTAGTTCACTACAGGGGTAGTAATTCTATTCGGCTATTCAAATTAGAATAAATGTATAGCAGGTCAATTCAGATCAACGATGTATTAGATAATGATTATGTATTGAAATCATTAAACTATAAATTCTTTCTATTTGTATATTTATAGTGAATAAAATCAATGTTTGTATCGTAAAGATAACGCATTTTATTTTGTTTAAGCTATTTTCTTATCATAATACATGTTTTACTGTAGAAAGTTAGATTTATAATGGGTTTTTTTGTACATAATTTTGTATAAATGAGTATTTCCTATTTTTCTTATCTTCTTAGAATCTAATGAATTTATACATGAAATAGACACTAATAAAGAATGGTTGAATGATTGTAGTATTATAGGTTTTTTTATGTGAAGGTTTGAATTTCGCCTATTTCAGTTTGGGCAACCGGAGAAATGAATATAGCCCATATGTGATTATCGTAATCAATAATTAGAAGCTTTGAATTATATGACTCAAAATCATCCGCAATAGCGCAGGTTCGTTCACTCTGTCTTCCTTTAAAATGTGAGTCTTAGAGTCTTTATAACTTTAGCCTGAGACATAAATAGCACCTAACTACCATGTTGGAATCCCATGAAGCTTGTATCATTGGAGATTTATGGTTAACACTGTTTCATTTATCTTGTTGTAAGTTTTTCCTCTATTCTCTCTTGAATATCTCATGTTTTATTGTTATCGAAGAAAGTCTTCTGTTTGACTTATCACATAGAGAGTCTGAATGCTTAGTTAATTTTTTTTTGGGTCATCATTAATATGGTTGCGGATAGACATCTAAGTCTTGTTAACTCCTGGAAGGTGTTATTTTATCAGATACTAACCATCCAATTCATTCATAACTGGTATAACTCTAGCGAACGGTTTGTTAGAGCTGACTTGGTCAATAACTTGTATTCCTAAACATGTTTGTAATTATAAAAGTTGTACAGATTCAAATCTTTTTAAAAACAAACATTTCATTTGATTGCAGGCAGGTTTATCCATTTAACTTTAGTATATATGTATGCAGTTATCAATTTCGTTCTCTTTTTTGAAAAGAAACTTATTGAAATACTTTGAGAACTTTACATTGTATCAAAAATATAATATTGAATAAAGCCACTAATAATAATAATTATTATTACTATTATTGTCTAGGAATGTTAAATGGGTGAGACTATAATTTATGGATGAACCAATAAGGTTTAGGATAACAGATCTTGGATTTTGGTGCGAAATTCATCCACCCATTTGGCTAAATACCATTTTGGCATTATAACTGATGTCAGTTTGTGATGTAAACATTAAATTTAATTCCTAATCCTAACAATTCACTATAAATTTTAATTGTAATTCCTCACACTCATGTATAGCCCTCATTTAACCGTAGTAAATGGGTGGACATTCCAAAGTCATTTCGGCGTTGCTCGAAGGTCGTCCATAAATTATAGTCTTACCGTTAAATGTTATTTATTTTAATTGTAATCATGAGCTAGTGTGAATTGTGTTTTATTTTCTTTCTAGGCTTTAGTTTTAGGGATTTCACGTTTACCTCAATCTGCGCCTGCTTTTGTGGATATTGATCGAAATACACACATCACTGAAGGTTCTGTTGAATCTTCTTTAAATGATAATACTGGTCAATCAGATTCTGATAATAATTCATCTAATATATCATCTCTAGTTCGTACAAATTCAATGATGTCAAATATAATTTCTAACAATGAATTAGGAAATAATATTATTGGTTTTACTAATGTCCTAAATTCTACTTGTCAAAATACTAATCCAGAATCTTACTCTACCATAACAGGATCAATTGTTACACGTGCGAATTTAGCTGGTCTACTCAGATCTAGTTTACCATTAATTAATGATGTACAATTATTAGCTCTTGCTCAAGTTGCCTTACTTGTACCTGGACCAACGAGTACTAATTTAGGAACTGGTGGTATGTCTAGTAGTAGTGGTACCAATGTATCCTCCATTCATCCTTTATCTTCTGGAACTACTACTACTGTCACTACAACTACTACGGATGTTAGTAGTATCAATGAATCTGTCTCAACTGCACCTAGTTTAAGTGAACGTGAAAGACTTGTCAATACATTAGCAAGACATTGTAACATTACATCTGTTGGTAGTACTGGTACATTGTCAACTACTGATTCGAATTTATTATTTGAATCCGGTACACAACAATCTGGTACAGCAGCAGGTACAACTGGAAGCTATAAATCATCAAATCCACGCGTTTTAGCTGCTTTGGATGTTCTGCGTAAAGATATTGAAAAATCCCATGTGAGTTCTGTCATTTTGTTTACTATTTGTTATACATACGTACAATCATGAATATTTTGTGTTTTTATTCAGGTAATTAATAAAGATGATAGCTTAATTAGTGATACTGTCCACTTTTATGATTGAGCTAAGACATGGTAATCTTGTCTAAACATCACTTACTCTGACATACTATACTAGATAATATAGAAGGGTAGGTTTAAAATTGTCTAAAGGTGATGAGATTAAAATGGTATCCGTCCATGAAGTTATTGACTGTTGGACTAAACTGAAAGATAACTGTATTTTGCAATTGAATACCTTTAGTGACATTTTCTTTATGTCTCTCTTAATCATTTGAATGCATTCATCCTTAAATTTGAATCTAAATTTTATTTTTATTCTATATTCTTCATTTCTTTCGAACTACACTTCCACAGCTTAATTCACTACTCCAAATAATAGTGATTATTTCAACTTCATTGTTATTTATCTTGTAAGTTTCCTGTTATTTTGTGTGCGTATAAAATATGACAACCTGGAGCGTTGCATACTTATTATCTGTCCTACATTACTTATAACTGATCGATACTTGGTAAGATCTCGTTATAGATTCAAAATACGTACTCAGCTTCTTACCAATATGCGTCACGTGTATAGTAGACGGAATTTTTCATCTGCCAACCAAGTAGAGTAGTGAGGATACTGCACATCAGTCCACCTTGTTTTACCGTATAGGTGCGAAAGTGATCATTAGAAGTATTTGAAATTTACAGTTCACTAGTGTTTAACCATAGGTATTTTCGAAGGATTACTCGCGTTTGGTATAAGAACCGAGTAAATAATTTTAAAGTTAGACGTTGAGCATTAGAAAAATGTAAGGAGTCAGTTGATAAAACTATTAATGTTTATTGACTAAGGTGGCTAAGATGTGCATTAGGTATGGTCAACAACTGATTATCTCGATCCTAGATATTGTCTGCAGTAAAGTAGGTTGGGAGGAAGTTAAGGTCAAACCAAATTGTTATATTCGGTTATAAAATCTTTAACTGATGATCTTGGCCGTATTTTTACGTCCAAGCTACGTGGTCGTAGTACGCACGATTACTATGACAAATAGTTTTAGGCTATGGGGGATGTGACTCTCAGTGGCGCAGACGCATTTATCCTTTGTCTACTTCTATATCGTGGTTTTTTAAAACTATCCTCATTTTGATCTCTGGTGTGGTCGACAGCAAGGACTGTTGTGGAGTCTCATAATAGGACAAAGAAGCTTTCCAGTGCTCCCCGGTTCTCAGTGCTACTCTATACGAGATCAATGTGTAGGGCATATGATTTACAAATCAAACTCATCTCCACAAAACCCATTCAACTAGAACTAAGGTTAATTTGTAAGACTATACTAACCAATGTCATTTTGTTTAGTCTTAAGTGCTAATTAAGGCGTATCGAAACTGTGAAATACTTTACACATGGGTTTATTAACTGAAAAATAATTTTTCCTCATATTTGGGTGGCATACCTTGCGTAGGACTGATACTTGAAGTCTTTAAAAATGACACTAAATTAAAACTAATGTTATAGCGAACAAAGCTGAGGTTATCCGTCACGTTTTTAATGTTCAAGTCATATTATACCTGGCACCTTCAACCCTTTTTCTCTTCACTCTTGGGCGAGTGTTGCACGTTGAAGCGTAATTCTCACCAAAAATTTCATCACACAAGTCTGGAATTATCCGCAACTATGTGCTATGAATATATCAGCATATCACAGCCGAAGATACAGGATAAAATTCACAAACATATTGAAAGTTAGTGCTTGAAATTAAGTCTCTAATGGAAATTACACCTTATTGTTCATGACTTACTAAATGAACCGAAAGGTGACTGGAAATGTTAGGTACAACACATTACTTGAACACTGAACGTATAACTGATAACCTTAACCACAAACAATCATCACAGTCAGAAAATAGAAATGATACTGAATGGGAGTCACACCGAGTTAGTGTTGTATCTCGTCATTTGAGGTTTTACTACGAGCCTATGATTATTTATTAAAGAGTGATTGAGCTGTGCTAGTATGAATGGCTCATATTGTAGACTCAATTATAAAAGTTGGAACACAACACTTTTAATTGACCACTAACAAAAAAATTGGAAGTATGGGAAATGCTTGATATCCAAGTAAAGTAGCTCGGAACAACACACCTCAGTGTATAAAGTAACGAAAGGATGACCTTGAGACACACTGAATATTGGCGAATTAAGATTAATGACAACCAATTAGAAAAGGGCAAAGTTCATACAAAACCCCGTTACTAGTAAGTCTTTAGCATTATTGACAAAAATTGAATGATCCCGTGATCTCATGTTCTTATCCTAACATCATGTATATATTTATCTGTGATGGAAATAGTCATTCTTTTCCAAAATTGTTCATTCTCTCTCTTCTGTTCCTAGAATTCGCTTGCATCACCGTTAACACCGACAAATTTAGTTGGAATTAAGACTGGACCTGGTGGTTATAGTTCATCAGCGTCATCATTAAATGCATCAGCAAATCTCTTAACAAACTTTACTGGTTTCCAAATGCCAGATGCATGGATTGCTCCATCGCCTCGTAGTCCTTTATCGACTAATAAATATTCACGTTTTGGTGCAGACTCACTACAGTCATCGAATAATAGCAGTACATCATTAACTGGTACCAGCTTATCATCGTGTTACTCATCATCATCAACATCATCTTATGGTTTACATTTGCCTATTGGAACACCTCTTACTAATCCAGGTCTAATGGGAGCTACACCTCACCTAAGTAATCTACATATTGGACAAGGTCAAATGCCAAGTCTACGTAAACTACCAAAGCTTACTCCCTCACCTGATCTATTATCATCGTTATCATCTTCTTCAAGGGAATTCCGTACTCCTCTTTCGCCTAATCCTATTCATCAGCAAAGAAATAAGTTTGCCACTGATACATTGTATGCTTCATGCCCATCTCCGGCTGTACATCGACCAGATGCCTCTCATGATAATAGTAATATTGCTATTCCTAGATCTCCTTCACCACCACCTTCGTAATATATTATATGAATAATTTTTCTCCTCCTACTGTATTTCGTATGTGTGTGTAAAGTTTTTGTAATCTTATCTGACTTATTAACTCACCAATCAACTACTGTTAATTGGGAATAAAAACAACTTATGACATGTATTTATAAACTTTGAACAGTTTCATTTTAGTTAAAATTCCCATCTTGCCATTTGGTAAATAAGGAAGGAACGAATTGAGCGAAGAAATTTCTTTTCAATTAGTTTTTCATCATGGCTCTACACTAATATATATACGTTTTACAATAATAATATAATACTCATCGAGTAGATACGTTACGTAATAATTACATAATGACATTTAAATTAACATTGATTAATTGGAAGAAAGAGGATTATTAATATTCAAAGTGATCAAGAAGTTGCTACGTTGCGTAATGTAGGAAACAAAGAAGGAATAGAATTTTACCGGATGGTCAATAGGATAGTAGTTACGTAAGAATCAAGAGATGAATGTTGAGAAGTTATTAAGTTCAAAAGCAACAGAAACAAAATTACAAAAGTTAAAAAAAAACAAGTGGAAGAAGTATGAAAAATAGTTCTTTTGAAGGAAATCTTAAACTGATGGCCAGGGCAGAGAAAGTGGTTGTACGAATCTCTTTTGAATGCAAAGGTCAGGTTTGTGAACATGGATTGCGATGGCCTCCGCAATATGCAAGAGGCGCACTCGTAAACCATGTGGCAAATTAGATGGTATATTGTAGATAACCTTAAAAGCTTTATTCAATTCGACTTGACCTGTGTCGACCAAGTGAGAGAGAATAGAACTTTTAATCATTTTATTATTATCTAGTTTCTTTTTCTGTTTTTCGAAACAAAAAGAAATAGTATTCAATTTGAATATCTTGTTAAAAAGAATAATCAAATCTTAACTGTTTGACATGGTTTTTCTAAACATTTATATAGTGTATACTCACTGACTCCTTCAGCATTTTTATTTTTTATTTCTTTCATTTACCGATGAAAATTAAATGGTAATGTTCTAACAGTATGGAATCATTGTTTTCACCTAGATGTTCAGACTAGATAGAGAATTCCCCCCCCCCTAGAATAATAATTATAGGTTAGTGAAATAAACATGTGAATTTTAAGTGACTGAAATGGATAAAACCTACTATACTACTACGTATATTTAATCATTAAATTTTTGATGAAGTGAATTAGCTTGCTAGTTTAGGTTTAGTGGTGAAACTTTACTAAACTGACAAATTAATCAGATTTTGAAATGGTAGCTGTTGGATTCTTGCGAGAAATCAAATATTTAGTGACTGATATTTATTTATTTTATTTAAACACTTAAACATTGGTACAAGGAGGCACCAAATAGATATACGCCACATAAAGCATTCGATTTGTGTGAGGACTAGGATACTGCCCGGGTACCCAAACCAAAGCAGGTGGTTTACTTAGGCGGCCACACCCCTAGCATTTGAATTAAAGGTCTGACACACAAGGCAGTGCAGCAACGTAAGGAGATGCAGTCCCATGGTAGTCGGTGCCCAATAATTGGTTTACACGCCATTTGTTCCATGTGCATGATTGAGTTGTAATCAGGGTTTTCCAACTGCTCTGGGTGGACTCTCCGTGTCCATCAACCTAGTTAGGGTGCCGGACATTTGCTTTTTGTCCTTTCAATTTCGTGAACAACAACAATGCGAGAAGGCAGTGAATGGGACTTATGTGGCAGTGGTTGTATGCACGTGGCCATGTGAGAGCACTTCGAGAGGGGAGCTGATTCTCCCCACTCTCGGCCGTACCAGGACATTTGAGAGCTAGTGACTGATAGCTTGTACTTTATTAAAAAGTTGAAAATTGTCAAGTATATCAATTATGCAATGACATAGCAAATGTAATGTGAAAGTTAATATACAAGAAGCACCTTACTTTAAAGAAGATTCCGAACATAGTCAAGGGTGTTTATGGGGTCTTTTAGGCCACCACACCTATTATGACTCAACTAAAACAGATAAATCATTCATTTGTGTATGGTTTATGCAATCGGGGACTAACACGTAGATGGACGACTAAAGAGCGTTTATTTGTTTACTAAGGTACATTTATAATTATCAGACTGTCATTCATACACCCCAATTTATCGATCCTATAGGCAGTGTTCGCTCTAATAGTATCGAAGTACTTTGGCAAAGATTAGGGTACTATCTTCATTTTTATATAGAGCCTCTACAGTTAAAATAATTTCGAGTTATATGGACAACTATTTGTGTTGAACTTGCTTTGATTTTAATACTAGGCCTTAATAAGTTTATTAATAATGTAAAACTAGTGTATACCTTTAGTGTTTTTTATTTTGTGACAAGTTATTGATTTGTAACACTTGCATTCAGACTGACTAATAGCTGGATGAAATTTGGAAGGATCACTTTTGGGGTCTCTAAAGGTTGTCAATATAGCATTGTTTCACCGGTTTAAATTTGAAAAGCGACCACTGCTGGGAAAGAAATCAAGAAACCAATCTATGTTGGATGGAATATCCGTTTCGATTAGTGTATGAAAGTGGGCGCTTTCTCGTTGATCTAGTAGCAAGAAAGATTGAATTACTGGGTTTTCGGTTCGTTTACGGCAAATTTTACTTACGAACAATTAATGATTCTTCTAAAACGACTCAATCAATGGGAACTCGAATAGAACGAACGTTTGTCATACAACCAATCATATCAAAGCATATGTTATTGCGGTAATAGGGACTAGGGAAATGTCATCCAGGTTATCCTGTGTAAAGGTAACTTAGGGACGAGCCAATCATAATCGAGGACGCGATATTTATTTTTTTGTGTGAAATTCAAATGTGCATGGTATGCAGAAAAATTGCCTTTGTATGCTGCTGAAGACGCTTCGAATGATACCATATTAATTCCTATTTCTATTACCACAGTAAAAGTGTCAAATGTATGAAATGTTTAATTCCGTCTTTTCAGATTTTCTATAACAGCTAGATCTTAATTCTGAGACAAACATTGACCTGATGGCACTACATTTTGTATATGGACTAACCGGATAGCACTTGTATTTTTGAGTGTTCATTCATTCTTTTGGCTACAGAGCAATTCGATATTATAGGTAATATCAACTTGTGATTAGAACCCCTAACCTTAAATAGCAACTCTTGAAAATCTACGTCCTACAAGGGTTCGATAATATTTATTTAAATCGATTGGTTACATTTCAAATATTCATGTAACACATGCTTATCTTTATTGAATGATAATACACTACTAACTAATAATAAGTAGTGTCGTTTAAAAACTACTATTTCTTGGAAAGCACTCAATCTTGGGAACAGTAATCATAAAAGAAATTTATCTAAATTATATTTCAGGTCATTTTACATTACTAAATTCTTCCTTCAACTTTAATGTAAAAAATACTGTATGAAATGAATTTCTTCCTATTACTAATATTTATAGATATCACTGTCTACGTTCTCATACATTCAGCATATCACTATTTGTTATTCATTTAAACATATATTATCTCTGATGTCACTTTCTAATCATCTAATTGACATAAAGCAGCTACACCACGATTAATCCAATGCTCTTGTGGTTGATTTGTTTTCAAATCAATATATAATACAAAATTTGTTGAATGTCCTGTAGTTGATAGAACACCACGTCGAGCAGATGTTTTGTAGACTGGGCAAGTATAAGTTGATTCACGATTGATTTCACTTAACTTTTTTGGAATAAGCCAGATCTAATGTGTACAGAAAAAAGTGAAAAAAAGTTATATGTTATAATGTTTAGTTTCAAAAGTAGATTATTAGAACTTGTTCATTTATTTAGAATGATAGCCTTTATTATAGACTGAATTTGATTATTAAAGTTTGTGATATAATAGACATACTAACAGATTTGATATCACAGTATACTTTGATTGTCATTCAAATATTAAACTCAATCAACACGATGTTTCGGACACAAGTTGTGTACTTTTTGGTACTTATATATTTAAAGCATCAATGAAATTAATATTTACTTGAAGAGATTAGACTATTCTTCTTAAAATATCATTTATTTTGTTATTTATAAAGCAGTCAGCTAATAATAAGTGAATTAAGTAATGAGGCGAATTGATATTTATTAGTCCTATTGATGACTACTTTACTTATAGGCTGGCCGATTCATTTTGAAATCTTTTTCTGACATCATCTTCAGGACTTACGTCTACTTCAAAGCAACTGTATAAGTAATACAATTTCTCTTTCATTTCTAAACCATACGGATCAATCAAATTATTTGACGTTAGGTGATTTCAAGCTATTGAAACTAAGCCACAGTTGTACGTTACTTATTAGATGCTGCTTATCAATACAATGTATCTACTATTTTGAAGTGAATTGATATTCTTTATAGGGTTCGTACCCATGTAACATCCAGTAAAGTTACCAATAATTTGTTGTGATGAGATGTTAACATTAATCGGTCGTCGAGAAGTAATTAGTATCATATTGTTTTACTCCTTAGTTTTAAACAATTTCACATTTCAATAATTGATTGAAAAGGTCATATACAACATTGAATACGAATTTCCTTTATAATTTCTTACCTTTTCTAGCTTTTAGACTATCATGAAACGTACCTTTTTCTCTTATGTACTATTGAATATTTATTTTCACACTTTTACCGCTGTACGAAAAGTATAACCTTAAACACTGTAATTATTTTATTTATATGATAACATCGGAAAGGAAATGTCGTTTAATTGAAAATATTATCAGAATGGGGTTTGTGGAGATTGTAGCAATTTTAATAGTTGAATTCATGGGTCGATTTAAGCTAAACCATCACTGAAAACCTGGAAGCATCGGACGGTCGTTCCTACCTAGTATGGGACTCATCAACAGTGCGCACCCATGACCCTACATACAACACTTGAACCCAGGACTTTCGGTCTCGCACGTGAATGCCTAATCTCAAGACCACTGAGCCGACATCCAACAGTGTTAATGTCTAACTTCAATCGATCGATAATCTTGCGCAACTATTTATCCAATTGTCTGAGGTAGATACCTGTCTCTATCCAACATGGATTGGACTCCATTGGTCACGGCTTCTCATTAGAGTTCCGGGAAATCCACCTTGAAACTAGTTACTAGTGAGCGCATGATGATTATTATCAGAATGAGGGTTTATGGAGCTTGCAGTAATTTAATAGATGGATTCGTGAGTCAATTAAAGCTAGTTTTTTAAAAAAAATTCTATTCACTTATTGTTAAGTTTGTCTTACATTGTTCCTAATCGCTCCCATTCCACTCCTTTGTATATTGTTTTATACTACTTATTTACATTCAGTAAGCAGTTGTATTCCCAACAATTTTCACACTCATGTTGTAACGCATGTTGTACTGTAATATTCTGAAATGTTCACATATACTCATACCGTTTATTGTACTTATCATTGTATTCATCATTTTAATTACTGTAGCGGTTATCCACAGTTTTGTGCATTTGTTTAAACGCAACAGT